GATTGAAATTTTAATTTCTCCTAGGGCAATTTTAAATTCCCCTAGATTTTAATCTACACTCCAACATATATATTTAATTAGATTTTTCTACAATTTCGGATTATTATCGATTAGTTGTTCTTCTTCATCTTCTTCAATCAAGATTATTATTATCAAATGAATATTGCAGTACTTTTACCATAATTACACATAGAAAAATAATTTTTGTTTAATCCAAAAAATTTTGTTTATTTATTAGTATTATGCAAATAAAATCAATCCACTTGCTCAATGTATTTTTATTTAGTGTTCGAACAACAGTATATCGGCAATGCGTTGTTTATCTGCTAGCAAACTAGTATAAGACGTGGTGATGTTTATGTAATGTTCATGATAGAATTTACTTTTTGTTTCTGTAATTCTAGTTCTAGGTTGAAAGTTTTCTTCGTGTTTATACAATATTCACTGATAGTCATAAAATAGATCTAAGTATTTGTAAATCAGCGCTCGAGCAAATGGGAATGATGTTAACTGATCCATCATGTCTTAATCATTCTGGTTAGACAGATTATGCTTCAACTACTCCCGCTTGTATAAGAATAATTCGATTATTAATACATTATAATAGAAATTTGCATTAGGTAACGAATTATACTCAAATTATTATTTAAAAGTATAAAATTAAGATATTTTCTTTTTCGTTGAACTTAAAAATGTATTGTGATAATTTTTAGTAACTGTTTGTTGTCACAGTGATCTTGAAATTGTTTCAAATTCAACTCATTCATTTGTATTTCTACTGTTTGATCGAAATCTAGACATAACTTCATTATCGGATCAAGAATTTCAACAACAAACATTTTCTTTTGGCTAAAGAGTAAATGAATATTTTTGTGAAATAAATTTTATTTCTTTTTATACTCATAATAAATTAGTTTACAATAAAGAATTTACTATTTGTTTTTTTCTTATCTCGTTAAAATTTTAGATTTCAAAGTAGTATGATATTAAACGAATCCGTTATTGAAACATTAAATACAATAAGATGTCTTCTCTTAATTACTTGTTACACATGATGATGTTCATTTAAGCGACTTTAATCAATTGGGAACAATACTTGACGAGTAAGAATTGTTTTATTTTGAGATGAATTTAAGTAGTTTAGAAAAATTTTGCCGGATCACAAAGGATCTATATAATATAGAACATACGTTCGATCTATCATGTTTGCATCATATTACAACAAAGTAATGAGCTTATAGATCGTTGATTTATTTATTTTTATATCTATTTCAATAGAATTGAAGAAAAACATCCAATCTTATTTTCATTTCAAACAATGTTACTGACATACTATAGTTTCACCAAGAAATATGTTCGTTCCGATTCTCATGTTGTTACTCAGTCACTAATTGTCAAATTTACAGAGATACTGTTTGTTTGTTAGTGTTAAGCATAGTCATATTTTTCACATTATATGTTGAATTATGATTCATTGAATATTTAAGAATCGCAGTGGCAAAAAAATGACCTAAATTCATTTCAATTTTGAATAAAACTTGTTTTTTTTTAATTTCTGATTATCTTTATCATTCAATGTGCACGATATTCAAATTCAAATTTTAATCCTTTCTTTTAGAAGTGAGTAGGTTTTTGCATACTGAACAAATTCTTCAGAAACTAACCGTTTAATATTTGTCATTATATTTGATAGAATAAATTTTCTCAAGATTCATATGATCGATATAAAAGAAAATTTTACTTTACTTAGACGCGTAAAAATTCAAGTTATAGAAATGTTTATTCATACTAAAAACTTTTATCTTCCATTGACGTTTATTGTTTTATATTTAACGAATCTTATAGTTGTGCAATCATTTCTCTTCTCCGACATATAAAAAGTATTTATTTGAAACTCATTCGTTTCAAAAATAAATATTGAATTTTAATATCAAATCTCAATGTTCCACCATCGTCTTCATATTTGACGTATGATTAGAAAAAAAGATTTGATAATTCTTTTATTTAATCGAAAGGTGTTGTTCTAGTAGGTTGATGGAAACCTACGAAGAATTTTTAGTAGCTATCCTTCGTGTAAGGAGATCTCATAGAAATAAAATGATGATACGATTATTTCTCTTTTTCCAACATAAATGTTATTTATTTCAGTAACCAGATAAGCATCAGCTTTGCAGTCTTATTCGATTACGTTTCTTTTTGGAAGAATACAACTTTTTTTGTCAAAAATAACTATAAATACCTCAATGATGATCAGATAAATCCATACAAGCTACATAAAGATATATATTCTCACTCACACCCACACCCTGGCTGATGAACATGTTATCTTACTCTCAGTATTATAAGACGTTTGTTTGAGGTTTTATTTCATAAAAAAATATTCACACTATAATACAATGGTACACTTTTTCCTCAGGTTACCCTTCATTAGAGTGTAACTATTGCTGCCAGTTTTTTCTTCGTGTAATATATTGATGAAAAGCATAGGTAAAGGCCATAACAATAAAATATTGAGACAAAAACAATTGTAATTTGAACTTGTCTTATCATTCGTATTTTCGAAGCGATTAGTTCTATTGACAACGTTTGTGTCATGCTAAATTGAAAATCAACTTCAAAGTCTATTTACTAATGCACCATCATCATATTTTTATATCGCTTATAATCTTACGACGTATTGTCTCCAATTGAAATGACACATCATGAATTTTATAGGAATAATTTTGTTTCGGAAAACCTATGGAAATATATTTTAGAATATCATAATCCAATGTTGGATTTAAAAAAAACATGGAGTCAAGTGGGTGGGACTTACATTCAGTTCTTCACATGCAGACATCCTGAAACGAGCTGCTTCAATACTTTTGTTTAATTGCGCTTTTTTCTGCTTTCATGATTAATTATCCGATCGAAGTTAAATTGTAAAGAAAGCATTGGAACGATATCGAATTTCTAATTACAAAAGGATTAAGTCGTGCTTTTCACTTTCGATCTATGTGCAAAATATTAAATATTCATCATATATAAAACTGTGCGCTGTCCCTATTGTATTTCAGTGTAACGAAAACGATGTCTACAAAGGCAATCTCCTGTTTTTTACTCATTCTATGCAGGTAGTTCTATTATTTTTCTACCGACTGAGCATTCACCAATCTTCCTTTAATGATTTACAGATTTATTCTTTTTTTCTATTTAGTGTATTGCTAGTTCAAGTCAAATCTCAAATATGCCAAGGAATTGCTCAATATGATCGATGTTCAACAAATGGTGGCTGTGCCTGTTTGTATATTGCAGGAACGCAAAACATCGGCATTTGTAGTGATCAATTCTTAGCAGATTGTTCTGAGCTAGTTAAGTGCGATCACAATAATCTTTGTGATAAACCTGATCATAGATGTGTTCATCACCCTCGATGTCATAATCTTCCTGTTTGTTATCCAGTACCGACTTACAATCGACAACTTTGCCCACCAATCACAAGTAAAAGAATCGTCAGTTACCTTGAGAGTGAAGATGTGACTGTGAGTTTTCTGTATGCATGCTCATTAGAG